TGTGGTGCACACAATTTCCAGCAAAAATCATAACTTTACAGTTGTCGGGGAGATAGTTATTGCCAACTTCCACAAGGACAATGAGGCACTGATCACTAATGACCTTTGGTTGGCTGTTTTCAAATTGTTGCATCTGAAAGTTTTAAGTTTTAAATAAAGCATTAAGTTAAAATTTCATTATGAAAATTTAGACTTTGTGGCAAATTTTTATTTTAATCATGGTTCTTAGAAATTCTCCGTCAAATCTGATTGAGTCTGAGCCTTTTACAAAAGAACAGGAGTCAAATCTGGCAACTACTGAAAAAAAAGAAATGTTTTCAAATATTTTTTTTTTTTTAGAATATATTTTTAGAAAACCATTGATTATATTGTTTTTGCTTAAAAAGCATCACTTTTTGTTGATTTATGACATAAAACCAAAATAAGACATCGTAGGCAATCCTATTGTCATGTTCCAGCCCCCATTTTTATTTAAAGATTATTTTTAAACTCTAGCGGCCTTTATTTTTGCTATTTTTTTATAATAGACAGACAGGAAATGAGATTAGAGAGAAGGGGAAGACATGCGGCAATAGTTACCTGGCCTAGTCTCGAACCTGTGAGGCGTCTCGGCCTTACACAAAAACCAATAACTTCTTAAATGTGTAATGGATTCAGCCTACACCAATCCTAAGACAAACATTTATAGTTATGATCTGGTTTTAGTGTGTGAGTGCTCTGGTGGATCGAGATAAAAACCAAGACGTGATGAGAAGCATGTGGTAATCATTTGCTGCTAAGATTATAAGAAACAATAACTCATAGCTGGTCTATAATCAAACCCATGGATAGAAGACTGTCCTTGGTGCAGAGACAACAAACATCACCCCTGTGTCTCATAACTCTTCCACTATTACTGAGGATGGTGATTTGATATTGATTAGGTTTCATGAGAGCCCAGTGCTCATCTAGCTTATTGTTTCGTAGGGCAGATAGGAGGTTTGTCCTCCCTTGAGTCTCATGGCCTTGTGAAAGCTGTATTATCTGCTGTTATGGCTTCATAGCAGCCCGTGCCCTGAATCTACGATGGCGCTCATGATTCAGGCACCACATTGTGTGCTCCGTGATAAAGCAATTATTTCCCATGGCCCTGCGGAGAGAGGCAAAACTTATCCGTCTCTGTGTTCACGGCTTCTGTATATGTCTTATTTTTTCTGGTTGTCCATGCTTTTGTTTTGGGTCAGTAGATGTGAAATGGACTGGCTTGTAATTAATGTGTCTGTCACCAATGGGGGAATGATAGCAACAAAACTCCCGGAGCTTTCCACTTTGAAAATCACTCCTGCGCTTCAGGAGAGCACGAGGTTACCGACAAGTGTATGCTCATTCAAAACTGGTTAACAGATGTTCCTGCTCGTTTTCACAGGTGCTGATTGAGACAACGGTTTCCAGGGAGCGGAGGGGTTACATCGGTATAGATGACATCATGGTGCTCAACTACCCCTGCTGTAAGTGCCACTTCACCCAGCAGTTACACAAGGTGCTGCATGATAGCAGCAGTAAGTGATTGGAATGTAGAAAACTGAGGAAGAGTAGCTAATAGGATTAAAAGAAAACTAACAGCTAAATAAATTATGACTAAACTCTTTGAAAGGAGTAAGCTGTGATTTTCTATTACATCTTATAATAAACCATTTGTTTATTTATTACAGATATACAGGAGCAGGAGCCTTAAGCAGCCCTGTTGCCATGGTAAATTCTTAAATACTTTAACTAAGAGGTGATGACCAGCAATTTCTGTTCCAGCATATTTCATGAAAGACAGATTTGTACCCTTAAAAAAAAAAAAAAACAGAACATTTTCTAAAATGCACTCAGCTTGTAGTCATCTACTGAAGTTGCTCTTACTGATTAGAAGTAGTGAACAGCTGATAGTACTCCATAGAGAATGTTTCTTTTTTTTTTAAACCTAAAATACTCTCTTCTGAAATCCCTCTATGATACTAAAAACTTCGTAGTAATACACCTTCCATACTGAAAGAGTTGTCACTCATGTAAGCTGTTAGCTCTAATGTGTGATTAATTCACTGATTAGAAAAAAGTCTGTTATTCTAAAGCCCAGGTCACACTGTTAAGCTCTAATGCATTTTTTGTTCCTGTCACAGTGGCTACATTAGGTTTAGAAAGGCTCCTACTATGCAACAGACATTTTTAAATGTAAAGACAGGGGCAGCTATCACACGGCTCCGCCTACTTTTAATTGATATACAAAGAGGCGCCCCGCATCATGACCAACCTGCAATACTATACCTGTTAAAACATAACAGGTATAGTATTTTGACATATTCAAAATCTAATATGAACTACGTTTAAAACAAGAAAATGAAGCCAGTTAAAGTTGGTTATTGGAGAGCTTTTTTTTAGTGTCATTAAGGGGCTGCATGATAAGCAGTGAGTACCCTGCAATGTCACTCAGGAACATCCGTGTTCCACATATGTTCTTTTGAAGGTCATAGAGCATCGGTTTTTCACTGAATCAGTTTTCAGTTATTCTGAGCTCCTACCATGAATAAAGTATTCTGTTTATTGAAATATTTTATTAATTGTGTCGGGGCTGTAACTAATATTTATTTTGCAACAGTAATTGATTAATCTGTTTATTATTTAATCAAAGAATTGATTCATTGATTTATAATCGGATGGCAAAAAGTTTCTTTAAGAGCATTTTTTTTTACTAAATTCAAACCAGGTGAAAACTTAAACATTTTTTGACTTGAGGAGTTCTGGATACAGCAAATGGAAGGACAGAAAAGGTTTTAATTATTATTATTATTTTTTTTACAATTTAATTATTACTGCTTTGAGTGGGCTGCTCTGTCAATAAAAAACAAAATCGCTGAAAAGAACCTGTCATGTATAAAATCAGCTGATTTCAGTGCCCAGCTAGTCTCTTGGTAAATTTCTGCTAAAATAGAATAGATATTTCCACTGGGTTAAATGGTTCTACATATTTGTATTTTTTTTTTCCAAATGGACCAATACTGTTTTTTTCAGATCCAATCCTATCTGGACTCAGCGTAACGGCCGTTATCCGATACTAATCAGATTCAACTGTGCAATAAATGAACCATATGTGAGTGAAGGCTTTAGCCTTTACTTAAACATTGTTAAAAAAGGTAGTAACACATTAACAAAGATATAAATGTGCTTTATGTAATTTATTAACAAGTAAGCCACAAAAAGACAGAAGTAATAGTTCCATGTAAAGTGGACTGGGTTGGATCTCTGATATTCGATATTAAATCATCAATATCGGATCCAGCTAATTATCAGAGATGATAAAACGTATCCAGGTATCAGATCGTTATATCTGTAGTATTTTTCTGCAGCTTTTACAAATTCAAAATATATATTATGCTGCAACAGTTTTGAAAACACTGAGTAAGCAAAAAAAACCAAAACTTTCCTCTACTTGAAGAGTGTCGTCCTTAGAGGGGTTAGTGAAGGCTCTTTGCTGAAAGTGCCACGAAGCTCTTGGGCAGATGTCACAGCTCTGTTTAGATGGCTTTTCCTCAAAAAAGTTAACCAGGGTTTTTTACTGTGAGTGGCTGTCTGTACCAAATGGCTTTTTTTGTCAGTTGTAAAAGGTGAGTGTAGCAGTTCAGTGTGTTGTCAGCTCCTGAGGATGTTGTTCAGAGCAGAGTCACTAAGACACCTGAACCTAATAGCTGGACAAAGCCGCCCTCTTTGAGACACTGCAGCATGCAGCCCACTCTTGAACACAAGGCCTCTTATCTGCACATTTAACACTTCAGTCACAGGCCTAATAGATGGGCATCACTCCCCACTAATTTGTTGATGCCCTCCCTGTTATCACTGGAGGAATGTTGTGATTCTGATAAATTTGGACATTTCCGCCTTTTCATGTTACAGACGATCTCATCAGTGTTTTTATGAAGCGAACACCAGCTGCGAGATTGGGTCGCACCCCTACTGTATTCATACCACCCAGCAGGCCACCCTGCTACTCCCAGACACAACAGATGGCATCCACTGACTGCTCCCACTGAGGCCATTAAATAATTAAGACTCTCATCAAGACCTGAGCGCTCCTTATGATGTGGCACTCGGCCAGCCGGCATCACTTGGCAATGAGGAGTGTGGGGGAAGGACGAGACGGAAGCCAGCAGGAAGTGTTAAATGGTCAAAAATAGCCTAAACCTATGTAGAAAATGTCCCTGTTAAGAATTCTGGCTAAAGCGCAGCTGACATTTCAGTCGTATTCTCCTGAGTCACACTCTTTGACTCTGAAACTAGTGTTGCAGTTCAATGAAATATTTATCATGCTAAAGAGCCATGAGGATAAGATCTGACGCATTTAGCCGTATAACGATTTGGCTCCGGCCGACTCTGGGGCGTGTTCCTTTCTACTCACACTCGTTTCCATGTTTGTTTACTGTCTGTTTGACTCCCAGGCATAAATAATGAAACGTTTTTAGGGGGAATGGGGGTTGGGGTAGAGGGGATGTGAGTCACTCAAACACAACATGGCCACATGTGGGGTACAAACACAAGTGCGTTCCCTAACTTACTGTACAAAAACAAGATCAAGGAATTGTCATCTCCATCTCTGCGAGATAGAAATGTAGTTTTGTGCAAATCTGAGTAGGAGATGAGCGAGATCCAAACATTTGCTTCTCCCTGATGCTTCTGCTTCACAGTTCCCTCTCCCGTCGCCTCCTGTCAATCATCCAGAGTGACACGTCGGCATGTCCTACACAGTTTTCTCGGCGATGGCTGGCAGCACGGCCTGCATTTACCCAGCACTTTTTCACAGCAGGGGGTTGCTTCTCACTCTTTTATTGTTAATCGCAAAGTTGGTTGAGAGGGGCCCCTCTCCCACACGCTGACTCATTGGCAGCTTCACTCAGAAAACTGAGACATTATTAGTCAAAGCGTGAAAGGTTGATGCTCACTCTGTGGCTTTTCTTTTGGAAACTCACACGTACAAAATGCTCATCTATTGATTGATCCTGTCTGTTTGCAAGTTATTTTAGTAATGGACACTTGTTTTAAAAAAGTTCCCTTCAAACTAGTTTTCCGTTGGTTTAATAACATGTTCCTGATTAAGTTTTTTTACACAGAAAGAAAATAAAAAATAATAAATTTTTTGTGCTGATGAATCAAAAATATAAAATTTGGAAGAATCAGTAGTAAGAAAAAATCCAGCAGAGCAGACTAATAATAAAAACAACATATACACAAGCTGGTCATCAGATAACCAAAGGTTAAGAACCATAGTTTTAGGAAGTCTAAAATCCAATTAATTCTATTACTTAAGTTAACCGATTTAATTAAAGGTACAGGCTCTTCCTAAAAAGGTCTTTTTATTTATTTAAAATAGTAAATAAAAAGCCTCACCAAAGGATATGTGGTTTATATAACACTAATATTGTATGTTAAGCTTTTTTCTTTTCCTTTTGTCTCCACAGATAAGGCCCCACACTTCTCCAGGCTGGGGGATGAGGAGGTAAATGCTGGCCAAAATGCCTCTTTCCAGTGCGTTGCTGCTAGGAGGGCCTCTGAGGCAGAGAAGTTCCTACTGGAGGTTAGTATGAGTTATTGGTTTTACAAGGAAAAACTCATTTTAGTTCTTGTTATACTAACAAAGAGGAAAGTTGGTTTCTTTTTTCTGTATTAAGATTTATTTATTTATTTTTTTGCATGTAGATTATCATCTCTTACTATTGTGAGACATTTCTTACCTGAAAGTTAATGCTGTTAAGCAAAACTAACAAACTGGAAGGGATGAGTAGATCATTGCAATCTAAAGGGGATAAGGTTTTCTGAACTATTTCTTTGTGGACTGTAGCTATATTTTTGTTTTTAGAAAAATCTCATCTCGCTTAAAAAGAGATGTTTAAATCACTAAAACAGTTGGAGTTGTAACACGTTTTGTTTGTTTAACACAACTTCTAAAATGTTAAGGAAAGCAAACAAGGTCTTGTATATTAAAATGAAGAAAATCAAGTAAAAGCAATACTGTTATTATGTATATTATGTCCAATATGATTCAACACCAACCCCTTAAGGCTGATTTATACTTCAAAACTAGGTCCTCTGCGTAGGTGTCGCAGTGAACGCAAAGACGTACCCGCCCCCTCCGCAGGCACTCTGCTGCAACTCTCCCAAATTGTAGCTGAACGCAGACAGTGCCGCAGACAGGAGGCCTCTGATTGGTCAAATCTACATCCGCTTGCCGGCTCGTTTTGTTTGTATGACCGCCATTGTGGAAAACAACTCGAGAAGTTGGACAAGCTAGAAGACCGAGGGGCGTGAGAACACTGGGACCCTTTTCCACCCTCATGTCCCTCCGTTGTCGGTCAAACTTGCCCCCACTTCCTCACCACCTCAGCTGTATCTAGACCCACAGCTAGTTCATGATTTTGCCTTTTGCATTGTGGCGTGGAATATAACATAGCGCAGACAATCAAAAATTGAGCATAAATCGAAAATGTTTGCGTCAAGCTCACTGTGACACACTGCTGCGGGAACCATAACCAGCCCTTTAATCTTCATGATGACAATAGAACTTATATCCGACTTCTAAGCACATAAGTTCAACCTTCACTAGGCTGAACTCAGAGGTGGTTACCAGCACAAGCTGTGATGCAAACTTTACAGTACCTACACAGAAATGCAAGTTAGTAAAAAATACAAGCTACATCAAACCCAGGGTAGTTTGAAAAGCTACACAGTGAGTCACAGTAACTGAGGCCTTTAATGAGGCATGTTCCTTGAACAGAAAATGTTAAGGCAAAGACAAAAGGCAGCTTTTTTCCCCACATTAGGCCAATAAGCTTATTACAAGGCAGCAACAGACACATTAAAATTTAAGCACATATTTTCTTCAGAGAGGAGAAGTAATAATTGACACAGTCATATTGGCTGTGAGTGAAATTGTGTTTGACACTTTTAACAGTAACACAATGGGTGAATGAATTGGGACATAAATGAGAGGATGTTGAAAATGAATGTTTTTCAAGTATACAAAATCAGGTATCAATATTTAAAGTTCATGCAAGCATCTTGTCACGGTTCCTCTGTTTGAAAAGAAATAGATTGAGGTTCTATTGGCACCTGTTTAAGGTAACCGCTGGACACAGAAGTTTGTTCTGTGTGTCAATATCATAAGGCAGATAGAGAACTTATTCGAGGATCAGCTTATCTCTTCCCTTGGGATCCCTCAAAATGTATTGTAGATGGATGTTACACTGCTGCATCCTTATGTCTGATCATTTGAAAATAGAAAATCTGGGTAATCCTTCATCTGTAAGAGTCTCCCAAACACATTATAATGCCTCAACTTGCCTTTTAAATTTGAAATGCATTTAGAAGGTTCTGTTAAATCATTTGGTTGCTTCTAACTGGATACTCCAAACAAGGTGGTGCTACTTCATAATGAAACAGCCTATTTGATCTGTATTTTATTTTTGAAGCCTGCAAACCTCTAAAGAAATCCCTGGTGTTAGGATCAAAGTACGCTGTTGGCTTCAAACAAACAAATGCACAGCGGAGCCACAACAGATTGATAATAAGTTTTTTTTTTTTTTTTAATAACTGTTTATTGTATAGGAGGCTCTTTTATTCGAGTTTTGTCTAGGATTTCAGTAGAACCATAATTCCAATCCCACTCACCTACAGAGTGGTCCTGCACTCATTGTTTGCTGTTCACTAAGGTCAAAATGAGTGCATTCAAATTTTAACCCGATCTGCACTCACTGAGCTTCATCACCAGATCTTTTGTTAATAAAATCAAATCCTTCATCTGGCTCTGAAAGCATACCTTAGGTAGTATAGAAAAATGCTTTATAGTTATTATGAATTATTTTTACACAAATGCTTACAGTTTAGTATGGGCTCTTTTATTCCAGCTCATGTTAACACACAAACACCTCACAGCTGGAGATTTTCTGCTGGAGATGCTCTTTCTCATTGTTAGGCTTTAAGTTGTGGATTTTTATTTGAAACAATTCTTTCTAGCTGTTGTCTCTAGCCTGGCCCTCCAGAGGACCTATAAATAAAGTGTCGACATCTGCAATAATAAAACCCCTAAACATAAGCTGTGAAAAATGAAACAAAGCCCAAAGTAATGGACTGAATCCCACAAAAATCCCAGTTAAATCTCAGTGAATCAAAAGCTTTATTCCGCCTAGATGTGATGGATCAAAATATAAATGTATAGCAGTGTCACACTAAACTTCTATAATAGGTCTAAAACTATACTTCAATTGCAGCCATAAATTAATCTCTTGATGCTTAAAATATTGCTTGATCCTCTATGAATGTGACCTTTATATCTAGAGTATCAGAAAAGAACAACATATAACTTTACATTGATACATTTATCAGTTTTTACTCTTTGATAGTTACTATACTCTAAAAGTCTCACATACTCGGTGATACAGTATGTATTCAGAGTTTGTGCAAACTAAAGGCAGGCTCTGTTCAGAATGATGCGCACAAAGCAAAGATTTTACAACAGCCTCTACGGTGTCTCTTTTCACTACTTGGCAGGTATTCATCAAATTCAGTTTTAAATTTGATGCCAAGCTGATAAAGCTCCCCAAGCAGCCATAGATTGGTTAGAGGAGCCAGTCACAAAGACCATATCTCTCTTACGTGCTCTTATCGTGCAAGGCGCCCATTTAGACTATGTTCCTTTTGTTTTTTTGAGTTCAAACTCATCAAACTCATAGATGACGCCATCACAGTGTGGGAAATTAAGGTATTTCTTATGAGGACCCTTGAAAAGAGGTACCACTAATTATGATGCTTGATGGTGCAAAGATGGGGCTAAAAAGGCTGAAGCTCAATAATGATGGGTTTAAATGCGCGGCTCACAGTGTGCACAGTCTGCGCAGTGTGCACAGTCTGCGCAAATAACATTCCACATTATTTTCTATATTTAACTCCACTTATTAGTTTTTTTTCTCTGCTCTGTAGACGAATTCTGAGATTGCAACTTTCGACTGCAGTATTTGTGGGCAGATTATCTCTCAAAGGATCCTTCAAATGCAGCCCTTAGAGTATTTCCTTCCCCCATTTAAAGCACGTGTCAGAAGTATCCTTCATGTATCCTGATTAGTTGAGGATGGAAGTGGATGGGACACAATTGGGCTGTAATAATGGATGAGGGAGGACAAACGTTTTGGTTAAAAATGTACACGTTTGTGTGACTCAAAATGAACTTTTAAACCCTGACCAAGAAGTTCCCCTTATTCAATTTTCATGGTGTCCACTGTTTTTTCTTAGACACCTACCTAGATTATAGTTGATATGTTGTTAATAAAATTTGATTTAATAACTTTTAACACTTTTATTAAGTACTTAACCACCATAGGCTGTAAAACTGCATGGATCAAATGGATTAAAGTTAATTTGTGTACATGTCAACATTCTTTGAGATATTTTGTTTTTCCTGCTTTGACAGTTGTTTTGGATTCTTTTCAAGGTTATTTTGTTTATTTCACATCTTTTTCCTTTATTGTCTCCTGCTTTTTGTTCTTTTAGCAACTTAAAAACTAAGATTTGAAGTGTCTCTTCAAAGAGCCCTGGCTCATGGGCATAAATGTTCCCAAACAGATCCTTTTAGTGAAGCAAATCAATAACTTTGTCTTAAAGTTAGAACTATAACCACAGTAGTAGAAAATGCTAACTCACATAACCTGTCAAGGAAAGCTTTTTTCTGTTGTCAACTTTCTTAATTGCATTGCTTGAGATAGAAACTTTTCATTGTTTCTTTTCTACCTTGTTTGGAAAAGGTAGAGAAGCTCCATACAGCTCTTTTGTTATTATTTGTTTTCAATTAAGGAACGAAATGTCCTGATATTTCATTTTTTCTATCTTTGTAACATTCAAAGCAAAGGCACACATGCCATCATCTTACCTTCCACAACATACTGTTCTTAACAGTAGGCGAACCTGCTGCATTGTTTAAACCCCGCTCCTGTGTGATTTGGATAATTGTAGTGTGCTCGCTCACACCTCTCCCAGTAACCACCATTTTTGCAGGGATGATGACAAATGCTTTGGATAATTAGCTGACAGAAAGCACACAGACGCCTGCTGTAATGAGCACCCATGGTCACCATAGTGCTTTCTTCCCTAGCCTCTCCTCTAGTTACAGCTGTCCTCTTCACCATCTTCCTGTCTCATATAAACCTTAAGTCCTGTTTTTATGTCACTGTGTTGGTTGCGTTTGCTGCAACAGCTGCAGATAAGTCTTGGCTGCTCGCGTCTGCCAGATTAGCAGATCGGTTTGTCATTTCCTTGCCAATTAGCCACAGCCAGATTGTTTTGATAACATCAAGTGATCCTATGCTTGTTTGTTTTATTTAGATTTTCCATACTGCTCATCTTAAATCTACATTTTGGAATTAAAAAAGGGAGCAGTAGAGCACCTAAGAAAAACATTAACCATGTAGCACCTTTGTCACGTTATAATCACAAACCTCAATGTAAAGGACCTATGCATTATTTTGTACTGGTCTGGCATCCACTTTAAGAATAATAATAATAGATAAATAAAGAAGGCTACATGAATTATGAAACTGTATTGTGACAAAAGTCCAAAGTGTAAAAATACTTTAGTAAAACATTGTAAAACACGTAGAGAGGACTGAGGAGAGTGTTTTTTGTGGCTTCAGGATTGTTTCCGACTCAACCCTAATCAGCAGTTTAATGCTTATGAGTTTGTTTGCGAAGCTTTGGCCTGAGGTCTGTGTGGTTTGTGGCTTTTTTCAGGCCATCAATTCAGGGTTTGAGAGGAAACTGTGAACGTGCAGCGATACCCTGAGGTTCCCAACATGCTGACTGCCTTCGGATTGTGCTGAAGCACAGATCAAAAAGTATCACCGTTTATATACACCACTTCACACAAAGAAGATTGCCTGAAAACATGCGAAAAAAAACCCCAACAAAATGTCAGATCCTCTGTGTGTTTTTGAGACTTCATGGGGTTGACAAATGTTAGTCGTTTTAATGGTGTGGAACAATGTGAGAAAGCACTCGCTGTGTGGCAGGAAGGTGAACCACTCAGAATTGGCTTGGATGTCCAGCTCTATGTGTGTGTATGTGTTTGCAGGTTTCCCTTTTTTAAACTGTGAAACTCCCATTTTTACCTTCAGCAAAAAAAACAACCAACAATTTCTCAACTATTATACCAATCTGATTAAAAACTTGACTTGATGCATTTAAAGCCTAACTAACCACCAATCAGGCTGCTGAACAGGAGTCAAGGGTTTCTCATGATGACCGCATTTTTAGATTGACTCCATTTGGGAATATCATTCGTGATGCGCATTAGCCCGATAATCAGTATCATTTTAACAAGGTTTCGTTTGTAATTATTAAAGCATGCTTGATTGTCACAATGCAAGAATAAATCAGCTAGATGGTCCTTCATTTCTAATTAAATTTAACATAATTGAACATTTTACCATTTTAATCTAACAGTGCTAATAGGAACTGACCCATATAGCGGTAACGTGTGTGCACTGTTGCACATGAGTCCCAGGAGCTCACAGGGCAATAAATGTGTACAAGGCATGAATCCAGCCATGGGCATGATTGTCTGTGGCTCCTTTGATACGGAAGGTCAGATGTTGTGCTCAGGAGTATAGAAGAAACACTTAACTTCCAGAAATGATAACTAAGGGAAATGAACGGGAGGAATAACTGAAAAAAGCAGGGAAGAAAGTGCTTATAAGACAAAAAAGAAATTATGTGATACATTTACATGTTCAAGAGACATCTGGGTTTCTTTTTAGGCAACATTGATCTGAGTCATTATGGACGCTGATAGTTCATTAAACCCAGTGCCGTATAAATATCTAAACACATAGTAGGTTTAAAGTGCAATAAAAACGCTTCATTATCATTATTATAATGTGCCTTTAAGTATTTTAATGGAGTCCCATTTACCTCTCAATAGATGTCACAGTTTGTGTTTTTCTTATGGGTATTTTCTTTAATCAATAATAGTATTCTCCAACAGAGGTGACCTGAATTAAGTAAGCAGCTACAATGACCAGTGAGGAACACATAACTTAGACAAATAAATATTATAAATAACTGTTAATTCTCCCAAAAAGTGAGTGAATTCATTATCCAATTTCAATTCATTTTAATTCAGTTTATTTATATAGCGCCAATTCACAACACATGTCACCTCAAGGCACTTTACAGATAGAGTTCAGTCAGATCATTGCTGATTCATAGTTTTCTATTTAAGGAAAACCAGTTGATTGCATCGACTCATTGACTTGAAAGCGATCCCTCACACCAAGCATGCTTGTAGCAACAGTGGAGAGGAAAAACTCAGTTTAAACAGTAAGAAACCTCCAGCAGAACCAACTGGGGTTCAAGGAGAAGGAAGCAGACATACAGAAAGAAGCAGAGATGCAAAAGGAAACTGTCAACAAGCTTCACAGGCGGCCCTGTCCAGGAAACACACAACCAGGCAGACAAGCTCTGAGCCAGCTCCCATGGCAGAGGATAAAGAGAACACATCCAGCCAGTCACAGTCAGAGAAACAGGACTACACTGAAAAACAGGCCGAGCTCCAACATCAACCATATAATCAAAGGTGTTGACGGCAGCAGCAGAGCTGATATTTCTCTCCAGGATGGTGTCATAGCCAAACAGGAACAGACGAGGTGAAGCTACTATAAGAAAAAGCAGAGAGAGCATAGCATTAGAGAATTAACTAACAGATTCTGCAGAATGGGAGAATAGAGGTAGAATGAAGCAGAATGATGAAATATGGGTCCCTATGTCCTTCAGCAGTCTAAGCCTATAGCACTATAACTATAGAGATAGCTCAGGATAACCTGAGCTACTCTAACTATAAGATTTATCAAAAAGGAAAGTTTTAAGCCTACCCTTAAAAGTAAACAGGGTGTCTGCTTCATGGAGTAAAACTGGTAGTTGGTTCCTCAGGAGAGGAACCTGATAACTAAAATATCTGCCTCCCATTCGAATTTTAGAAATTCTAGGAACCGCTAGTCAACCTGCAGATTAAGAGGGCAGTGCTCTGTTAGGAATGTAAGTTCCTGAACTATCAAAACAACCCATTATAACACAAAGTAACTGCTCACTTGGTTTTTATGATCTTCAAAAACCGAAACTAATAAAAAAAAAAAAAACTCGAACTAAAGTTAGTTAAAATAATTATAATAGAGTGTAAAATCAGACTTTCCTATTTTCTTAACTTTAAATACAACTGTGTGTTCAAATATCGAATATAAAATATTCAATAGAAATTATTTACATTGTGGATAAAGTTTTTTTCTCGACTTAAAGAGCAAATTACAGGAACATTTAGGCTTTGGGACTGGCGACCTGTCCAGGGTGTACCCCGAGTTCCGCCCGTAGACAGCTGGAGATAGGCACCAGCACCCCTCGCGGCCACATTTGGGATTGGGCGTGTAGGAAAATGGATGGATGGATGGATTTAGTCTTTGACTTTAGCAAGCATAAAATAGGGTCCATGTAGTGCTATCATTGAGTCTGCAAGACTCTCCTACATCACTGTACTTCTTTCTAGTTTGTCTCAATCTCTGAAAGCAATCGGGACCAGAATTATTCTCCGACAGCCAATCATTGTCATGTGTGCTTCTATCTCAGCTCCCTGCATCAGCAACAGAGAGCAGTGCCCTCCTGCAACACAGAATCTGTGCTTAACTCAAACTGCGCAAACTCCTTTTATTGATCGAGTTGTAGGAAGTTGCTATATTATCTTCTATGAGGATCTATTATCAGCAGGTACAAGGAATCTGGTCAGACTGTATGGGAATATGAAAGGAGCTAAATATGGAGTCAAAGTAGAAGAAGGCTTGTTAGAGGGTTTTAAAGACTAGAAGTTAAACTTTGACTTCAGCAACACATCTGCAAACATTAATAAACACTCCTTTGGCACCAGGTGGCGATGCTTTTAAGTATGCTAGTCTTCTAATAGCATATTTACATTGGTCTATTGCTCTGATGCAACCTATAACATATTAAAAAGAAGGTGTCAGTTTATTGTGTGTGAATTAAAAGATTAGGTCCCAGACTGCTGTTTGAAAAAGGAATAGGTTTTATGATAGACAAGAAAGTGCAGCAGCAAGACAGACTTTTTAATTGTAATGGATGTAAAATAATACTATGGCAATAGCAAGTATTGGAAGTCGAGTTTAGTCAGCAACTTAGATTGTAGATTAAAGGTTAAGAAAAATAAATAAACGGCAGTGAGTAATATATTTTATGGACCTTTCAGTGCTTGGAAGTAGTTAGAAATTGATGTTAAATGTGGGAGAAGGCTAGACCAAGGTTGTTATCAAAATGACTAAAACTATTTCTAAAAAAAGGTTTTCGTTAACCGACATCAAAATAATAACTAGACCTTGCAAAAAGAAAAAAAAAAACTGAAAACAAACTGAAAAAAGAGTTTACAAAATGAACTGAAACTAAAGAGATTTTAGGAGAGAATGCGCTTTGTTTTGTTTTGTATCTTTGGCATCTTGTTTCCTGTCTGCTTTTTTTCTTTTTGTGTTGTATCCTATGACACCGGGAGATGGAGGGTAAGGCGCAGGTCCTTTGTGTTGCCATAGCAGTCTGACCTTATCTAGAATTGAGTTTCTATTTTTTTTTTCCTTTGGCCTTTCCCCTAGTATGCAAGTCATTTTACATAATATACTATAACCTAAACCACAAACAGTTAATACTAAAATAGAGCTAAAATCAGAAGTCTGAAATAAATAATAAAAAAAAAAAAAAAAAAAAAAATTCAAGTCAATTTAAACCTTAGTTTAAACAAATGAGTCAGGCAGGCAGCAAATAAAGGGATAGTCCACCAATCTAACAAATGGATGACGTCTTCCCTCATGATTGATGGCTGGAAAGAGGAAATTTTTTTGTACAAAGATGGAGCCCTGAATCTGAAGGATTTAATCATTTATGTTACAGACTGAGATGCACCAACATAAGAATGAAAAAATATTACATTTCTGTCTTCATGTTATATTTCTCTAAAATTGTTCAAAGTTACATTATTTCTGTTCTTTGATGCTTGGAAATTGTATTAGGTAGATACCACATAAAGTATAGCGTCTTTATACCTGTTTATGTATGAGCATAGGTCACCTTCTAATGTTCTGCATTATAACTGTGTTTGTGAGCAAAATGATGACCCATCCTGTCTTCCCATGACCCTGTCCTCTCCTGTTTTCCAGAGACACAATGGCGACATTTTAACAGCGGCCTCAGTCAAGCACTTGAGTCATCGGCACTTTGTGGTGTCCTTCCAGCTAGATAACGTTCAGCGCTCAGATCAGGACCTTTACCGCTGTGTCACTCAGTCCTCCAGGGGCTCAGGGGTGTCCAACTTTGCTGAGCTTGTTGTAAAAGGTAAGAATAAATAAAACATGTCTTTTTTTTCTCCTTATTCTGGTTTTGGTTCAGTACCATTCGTATTCAGTATTCATGTTGCTGTTTTTCCTGTTGATCTTGGTCACTTGTGCAGTGTGGGATGAAGCCTTAATATACGGCTCATTTATTTGTGCAAAAAATACTTAATCCTGAACTGCATTCTATTCATGTTACGGTGACAAAAAATCTCTTTTTTGGCATGAGTGATTCATAAGCTAAAGTTGTCAAACACGCTGCCATCTTGAGCACTTCAACTCTCTGACAAAAAGCTGCTTGCATGACTTGGACTTCTGCAGACCCTGTCATATCATGAGACACAGATGGTGACCTCACTCTCATTACTCACCACAGCCCAACAGCCTGATACGACTCTGACAGCATAGTAATGACATGGCAGTGGTTTGATGGCATAACAGACTGTAGCCTTCAGCTAACGGAAGATGAGAAGGGGATACAAGGACGTCACATATTCTCTGCTCTGCTCATGGTTGCTCTTAAAGCAGCTTAATGAGAACTATGTCAGAGAAAAAAACACAGAATTTGGTATTTTATCTGTTTTCTCAATATTTATACCTTTGTTTATGAAGTACTTGGTTCAGACTTGACTGACATTCTGATATCAATTTCAATTTGAGTAAAAGTCCCTTAATTCATCATGATATAGTAAAAATAATAACAAAATGTAAAAATACTTTAAAGTGGTTTTTACTTCTCCACTTTACCTATTTTTTTAAATTGCAATTATTTTCTTTCATTTGTATGTAATGCATATATAATCACGTGATTTAAACAAAAGTTTCTCTTTAGCAGGTATTATTTTTTTTTACTGAGCAAATACGTTTTGCACAAAATACATCTTTTTATTGTTCGATTTTGTTTCCTTAATCTTATATCACCTTGTTAGAATGTTAGTTTAACTGCTAAGATTTAGGACACAGTTTTCAGCTTCAATGACATCCTGAGCTACACTTAAAATAACACCAATGACTTGAGGACAAAATTAGGCTGAGGAGCTCTGTGCCACTATGAACTCCATGAAGCCAGAGAACACGTTTTTTATTTATTTTTTATTATGGATCTATTTCAGGTAGTTCGCTAAAATTATGTGAGACAGTATATTGAAAAATATCAACAATCTTTTTACTTTTTAAAGCCTTTGTATACCAAGCCTATTGATTTCTAGCCGAATCCCTTTCTCTAATGCCAATTTAGTTTTAGTCTATTGAAAACATGGCTAGTATAAAAAGAATCCTCTGTTACTAAACTCTCAATCCCCTCACCATCGGCTGCCACTAAATCAAGAGAGAATCCACTGAAAAATTGCCATGTAATCCATTATTTCAACTTTAGATGAATCATGGTGGGATCTTTATGAACCTTAACTTTTCAGACTCTGGATAGAAAAGGAAAAAAAAATCTTCCTCCAAGGCAGAGCTGCACATCAAGTAAACGTGATAACCAGACTTAAATTATGGAGGAGTCGGTCTGTAACTATGCAATCTTAATAAATGCCCTGCTTCTCCACTGCACTGCTATGAACTTTTGATTAGTTAGGCTTAGATTTTTCAGTAATGTTAAATGTAAATGTAAACAGCAGAATCATACAGACACTCCTACTGCCCCACACCAGAGAGCAACTTTGAATATAATTAAAAATAAAAAAATTCTCTGTACTCTATCATATTCCTAATTAAAGATTGCCATTCAAATGAATGTGAGAACCAATCAAACACATAAAAAATTAATCTAAAATGTGTTTGTATTAAAATTAAAGGTAAATAACATGTTGGAACAACTGAAAACTGCAAACTGTTTAACTAAACATGAGTGGGTAAGTCAAACTTTAATCACTGGCTGCTGCCTGTAGCCTTAAGATGCGCTTTTAGTTCAGAGGCAGCCGACCCTTAAAACAAGCTGCTGCAGGCTGAGGGAGCCAGGAGCAGAGGTTATGGTAATGTTCGAAGCACACACTTGGGCGGGCCGTAAAAGACTGAGGCGCCTCCGCTGGATTAGTCACAGCAACAAATCTCACTCTGATCTCTTCCCATGCCTTGTCGACGTTCCTTTTCTATTCCCATTCCTCACTCACGCGGTGTAATTGATCTGCCTGTAAGTGACGTTTGACCGGTGGGCTGTGGTATAAATTCCTGCTTTGGAAATCCTGACTGACAGTGATGCAGAGTCTCCTGTTTCATCACGGTAGGGGGCTCTGTGGACAGATAGAGAAAAACATAAACGGTGCTTAATCACAGTTAAAGGGTTGTCACATGCTTTCCATTTAATGCACAGCTGTTCTTTCCAGTCATCACTTTTTTAAAGTTTATTCCAGGCTGTGGGTGCCTTGCCAATACAGTGTGTGTGACTAATTAGCTGTGTTTTCAAAAAAATTGGCCTGCTCTTACTCTGTCACTCATGCATCTAAAACTTAGAGCTTTAAGATACTGAGAGCCTGTTTGCATAATAGCTACTAATCAGTGAAATATGATTTTTTTTTGTTTAGATTTTCAGATTAGGTAGCAGTCCTGTTAGCTTTAAATGCATTTCAGGAGAACAAATAATGGCCTACTGATTTCCCTCTCCTCTGACAGTACCTCCATCCCCCATCGCACCGCCTCAGCTGCTGCGTGCCGGCTCCACTTACCTGATCATCCAGCTCAACACTAACTCTATCCTGGGAGATGGGCCCATTATCAGGAAAGAGATTGAGTACCGTGCCAGTCAGTCCCCGTGGTCAGAGGTACATGGAGTCAACATGGTCACCTATAAACTGTGGCACCTGGATCCAGACACGGAGTATCACATCAGTGTGCTGCTAACTCGACCTGGAGAGGGTGGAACCGGCCCCCCTGGGCCCCCCCTTGTGAGCAGAACTAAGTGTGCAGGTGAGTCTTTGGATCCTAAAACCCTCATTTGAAAGCTGTTTGGCTTATTGAACCACAAGTAAACTATTTTATATCTATCTTATATAGGATTTTTATACATTTTCTGTGACAATACTTCCATTATGGAACATGATTATGTAAAACAAACTATTTCATTTCTTCAAAAAGGAGATACAAATAATTAGAGAGAATAAATATAAATGATTATGGAAAGATGATTAAAACAAGAGATACAATTATTGACAACAAAAAAAGAAAAGTTAGACAGAAAACTTGACTAATAATGTTAAGGTAGTACAGCCAAAAGCCACTGTAAACAAATGTATTTTTAATCTCAATATAAAGCAATTTAGGGTTTCAGTTATTTTTCATTCCAGATTATTGAAACATATTACACATTACAGTTTAGAGAGGTCTGGATGGTTGATGCACTGACAGCAAGCCTGTAATGTATTTTGGTGCAAAGCCATGCAGTGGTTTAAAGATTAGAAGTGTTATAAAGTCTATTCTCTTACAGTAATGTTAATTATTACCAAAAATGTAAAAAAAAAAAAAAAGGTTGAGTATCAGTCAGCAATAACACAAAACCTGCAGGAATCTGGCTCACAATTTCAAAATGAATAGTAAGTACTATGCGATAATTTTGATGTTTTTTTTTATCGTAAAAGGCATCAATGCTTCCGGGATGAAGCATTCATGTTACGATACTGAGAAAATAATGACAAAAAAAAATAACAATGAAGCAGTCCACTATACTTAAAGCTGGCGTGTTCTGCCAATTCCACACGTATAACAATGACAACCATCAGCAAGCCCTTATGGGCAAAAACCATCAGTCCATTAATATCATGTACCGTATGCTCTAATCATCATCAATAAAGACCAAGGCAGGGACTTCTGAAACTGAAAGTTATTTTTCTATTTTTGGTGGCCTTAATTAAAGAGCATTTCTGTCACCTTCATCAACAGTTTGCACAACTTCAGAATTATTTCCTCATTACACCAGTAGGTAGCCTCAAATTACCTTAAATTGCCTACTATCTAGGGAGTTACAACTTATTTTCAGTTTCAACATGTTACAAAGGGTTAAAATAGGAAGTATCTTGTTTTCTCTATGGGATATATGCAACAAAACGTCCCTAAGGTTATTAGAATTGTATTGCTCAAGAGAAAACAAAAGCATATGGCACTAACCCCTCTGCGCAGGGAGTTTCTTATTTGTGTAGACTCATCATGCCAGTGAATATGTCTTATTAATATGTCTTCTTTTCATGTAATGAAGTTATTCTAATTAAGCTCCCAAGCACAAAGTTCTGATGCCCAGTGGCCACACGCTGTAACTTTAGAGGCTCTTTCATTATGAAGCCAAATCTGCCACGATAATCTGCTGAAAATTCAATCAGAGAGGAGCAAACTCTGACTGAGTCACTGCAAGGACTTATCTCATGAGAAAAGAAAAGAAAAAAATATCACTGAGGTTCTCTGAACTCGGGAGTTTCGGATAACGGAGGGTGAGACTTTAATTGCTGCTTGCATGGCAATATCAGTTTGAGGGTTATTTAAGAGATAACAGATGAATGATAGCTGAAGCTAGCCTCAGGCGTTCTTCTTTAGAATATACTGAAAAACACAGAAATGTGCAATTATGGCAAGTGGATAGGGGATAGTGGGGTGGAAGCTTTTTCCTGATTTGTATCTGATATCACGACATTACAGAAGAAAAAGGAAACTGGTTGATTACAGAGGTTAGCAGCGTCATCACAGAGGGAACCACCTGCATCCGAAATGAGATTAATGCTGTTTGCATACATGGAGCACCTTTGTATGGAGTTTATAATGCATGGTGATTATTTTCTTTCATCTAATGCTTTTAAATTGACATTAATGTACAATAGTGTTGTTTGACCTTTGATCATTAAATGATATTACAGATACGGTAGTAATGCATTGCCACACCTTGACGATTTAGCCAGCATATGCTGTTGTCCCAGAATCTCCTAAAACGCTGGCATACACTGAATTTTCTATGTATTTTATAAGTAGTATTCAAAACGAGTCCAGAACTTCTGTCCAACGACAGCCTAACTTATGCATAACACACTGCAGCGTAATGCCCATGAAATGTCACAAACCAGTGTCCCGAGAGGGGCAGCAATGCCCCCGGAGGCGCCCGCAGCCTGCATAAAAAGCACAAGAAGATGCAGTTTACCGCCCACCCAAAAAAATTTATTAATTAATTAATAGAAATAGAAAGGAAAAAGAAAAAGAAAGAAGGTTTGAAGTCGCAGCAGATTCAGCGTCAACTTTGAAAACCAGTGGGAACTTCCCATAATTGTGCTTAATAACCAGTCTTAATCCTGTATTACCAAGCTGAGATACACAGGATTTTGTTTTGTTTCACTAGAATGATACACCAGTTTGATTTGCACTGTTATGCTGTTCTTCCAAATGAAGAAGGGAGTATAAAGAGGAAAGAGAATTAGTTAGGAAGAAGGACTGTGGGTGATCAAGAGAGATTTTGCAAAGTCAATAGTAATTGATCGTTTCTCTGCTCTGACCTTATAAGAGAAGAATAATCACTGTCCTATTGGTAAAAAATAACCTCTGCCCCTATGTTGGGCTTCCCTTACAGCTCTGGTATTTGGTCATTTGGTCTGCAGTCCAAATAGATGGCTTTAGGTTTATTTTGATAATTCAGCTTATCTGGAAGTCACCTGATATTCAGTTCACTATATTTTAGAAAATGCTAAAATGCAATTTTGGTCACTGCTGAGGGTTTTAAGGTGTCTGTTTTTGGTAGCAAAGTAGGTAAGGGTTAGTATCAGTATACATTGAACCTGTGACTGATAAACCTGGCTAAAACATTGCTACTGGATGTTTAAAGCATTTCTGAACTGCATCGACAGTATCTGCTGTGAGAAAATTCCCTTTCACTTTGTGTCAGTGAAAATGATGCTGTGTTTTGGAACACAAACTGTGAGCTTCAGAGTGGGTTGAGTTGCAGATTAAAAGAAGATAGGGTTTTAGTTTTAAAAAACCCTTTTCCACGTGGGAGTAATATTTCTGGTTTCTGAACGATGTAGATGAAATGAAAACTCTGAGTGGGTATATGGGGAGATCATGTGGGAGTGATCCAATAATCTGACTGTGCTTTGTAACACGTCAACATTAATATTAATCAAACATATAACATGTTCTCATGGATTAAGATTAATTGCCAAAACATTTCTGTGCCTCTAATTTTGGATGTCAGATTTTTATTAAAAAGTTCCTGCTCTTCTTTTTAAAAGCAATGATGGGTTGAGTGCAAGTTTATCAAGTTGCAGGGAATTTGGCTTTTTAGTTTTATAAAGGTGAAATTAGAATAGAAAATCTAATTTTTTATGTTAGCCGCCTGACATTTTGCTCCGTTTGCTTTCTTCAGCGATTCGCTAAATTCTTCTCTACCCTCAGTCGAGCAGAATAACAGCATTCATCTTAGCTACATCCATGCTAATTCTCAAAATATATGCACATATATAGCATGAAAAATATTGTTTTCAGGCAGATACACTCAGAGAAGATGTAGGCAGTCATTAGTGCTGCCTGAATCTGCAATGTATGCGTTGTCTAGTCACAGGGGCACAAAAAAAGAAAAGCTTTTGTTACCCCAAGGCAGAAGATTCATGTCTTCCATGGTCATCACTCTTCCCTATGCCCAACGGTCTCTCCCTGCTGCACACCATCCCTCACATTTCTTCCGACCCTGCTCCAGCAAAACCTCCCTGGCCTTCTCTCGGATGACATATTAAACCTACTCTCCGCTCTCGAAAGCCAGAGACACCTCTCATTCATCAGTCTTTGTGCACTCTTTTGCTTCCCGACACACCCATCTCCAGCTGAAGAGTATCATATAATTCACAATAAGAAAAAGTCAAAGAAAGAAATGGTGGTGGGGAGGGGGGGGAGTGGGACCGTTGGGCACAAATGGTGAAATCAGATGAAGCGATACAGGATTCACCGTAGATGGAGATTGCTCTCACAGCTGCTGCTATCAGTGTTTGTGAAAGTCACCAAACTCAGCCTTTAATGTTATATTTACATTTCAACCACTGTGACATTAGCTCATTCAGCCATGTGTGGGAGGTGATGCTTTTGGGTGTGCAGGGCTGTTCAAGTGGGCATTTAAATACAGTGTGGGATTATTGCAGAAGCCAAATAGGTGTTCTTTTTTATCATTGCTTCATATCTTTCTGCATATTGGTTTTATTTATACATTGGATCTAAATGCTGCATTACACCTCATTAATGTAGAACGTAGGTCACAGATTAGCGGACCAGGGTCCGGTTCCGAACCCACCTGCTTGCTAATCCATGGCCAACCTGATTTAAAACTATACACTAATTAATCGGACAACATGTAGTAATTTTATAGATTTTATAGATTGACTTCCGCCGCTTCTCCTATTAATATGGTAAAGCCCTCCGGAGCGTCCGGGACACGTGATACAAATTAACCAATGAGCTGTGTCAGTCAGGGCTGCTGCTGTTAACTACTTTTAGACACTTTTTCTCACAAAGGAAAAAAAAATCCACAATTACAAATATATTTGGCATAAAATCACACCACACCCAAAGTATAATATTATATGGTGACAGCAACATTATGCTGGGCTTATCTTTCTCCAGGTGATACTGATCTTTCAGTCAAGGTTGATGAAATTGTTAACAGATTTAAATTACCTATAGAGGGCTAAAATCCTTTAGCTAAACACCTGATGATAGTAAATGTTTACCTTTTTCCACCTTGTTTATAGAGGAAGAAAATAAAATTGCAAGGGGCTTCTATAGTACTGGAGCTCTTGAAAATGGCTATCAACTACAACATGTCCACACAGTCTAATGCAATAGATTGAATTTAGGGAATGTTGAGTGGTCAAACATTGCTGACTTGGCATCCTGAATGCTGAAAGAAAATTAAGCACTGGTTTAGTAAAGCATCAATTTAATGCAGTTCAAAC